CTTAGAATAGATCCCCCCTCCCTCCTTGATTTAGGGATGTAAGGAAATAGGGGATGAGAACAGAATCAAAGAAGACAAGGTGTGATAAACACAGGCATTTGCAACAGAACAGAGCAGGGCTGGGACTAGGGTGAGGAAAGTGAGGTGCAAGTTTTAAGGGTGTGCTAAAACAGTCATCAGAATGAACAACAATTAAATGTAGCAATTTTTAAAAACCAGTGTTATCGCCAAAGATCTACAATGGACAAAATAGCAACAAAAATTTTAGAAGACCTGGGCAAGTTCTAATGACCAGGTTTATCTCCTAGTGGGAGTGTGGATCCATGTCAGCTTCTCTTTGGAGCAGCCTGCCTTTGTCCCTAGGATTCTGCATAAGGGATGTTTTGCCAAAGTGAACATGATGAATGTGAAAATCTTCCATAAATCCAGAGTGACTGTGGCAGTGGATTCCTTTCCCATTACAATTAACAGTGTCAACGATGGTTATGTGCTTTGAGTTCCAACAGACGGAGGTTTATCAGTTCACGGCTGAGCCAAGCATGAAACCAAAGCAAGTTTGAAATCCCCAAGGATGTTTCTCACTGGGGTCGCTCAGCCAGGGGCCGGGCCGGCCACTTTCCGGTGATTGAACCGGAGTTTTCCGTCTATCTACAGAACGAGTTCTGTGCCTCCGGCTGCAGTGCAGGCCTGCCCACAGTACCCTGCCAGCGTGTTTACACCCTGACCTGGAAGGACCAGCTAAGGGTGAGAAAGCAATTTGCTCTCCGTGTCCATCTCATGCTTGTTTGGTTGGCCAAGACTGGCCATGCATGCTGTGGATGGTCCCGAGGCTTTCAGGGCTCATGGGAAAGCTCTCCAGTCATGGAGGCAAACCCATGTCAACTGGCAGTGTATCCGCTCAGCATTCCCCACCTCAGTCCATGAAATTCCGACACCTAGAGAGACAGAACACCATGTGCCTCTCAACGATTTCTCACTGCTTAGAGTAAATATTTTATATAAATAAACACATGAATATTTTAGCCCTTTACTTGGAGCGCTGAACTGTCTTCCGAGAGGTGAATCATCTTAGAGGCAAATCTTAGAGATGACATCAGTGACAGCTTGTCTCATTTTGTTCAAAGATACTCACAGGGAAGGTCCTCGATTTGTTTCCAGTTGATTTAATGATAAAGCAATGGAGTGACACTACAATTTTTGAAAACTCTGAACTGCCAATATTGTAGTGAGACTTCTGAGGAGTAAATGTCATCGTTTTATTTCATTAATTGATGGGCTCTTGTGTGGAAAGACAAGACTTCCCAGGTGACCCAGTGGTAAAGAATCTGCCGGCCAGTGCAGGAGACACAGGTTTGATCCATGGATTGGACAGATCCCCTGGAAAAGGAAATGGCAACCCACTCCAGTATTCTTGCCTGGAAAATTCCATGGACAAAGGAGCCTGGTGGGCTATAGACCATGGGGTCTCAGAGAGTCAGATATGACTGAGCACACATGCACACATATGGAAAGACAACTCTTGGGCGTGGGTTCTTAGGCAAATTTGGCCACCACCTTACTGACCTCTGCTGAGAAATTAAAATGATAAATAGGAAATACTTTAAACATATAAAAGAGCCACCAACTGTAAGCATAAAACAAGGCATTTTACTATTGATTTTGAATAATTTTAAACTATACAGTCCAGGGAATTCTCCAGGCCAGAGTACTGGAGGGGGTAGCCTTTCCCTTCTCCAGGGTAACTTCCCATCCCAGGGATCAAACCCAGGCCTGCTGCATTGCAGGCAGATTCTTTACCAGCTGAGCCACAAGGGAAGCCCAAGAATACTGGAGTGGGTAGCCTATCCCTTCTCCAGGGGATCTTCCCGACCCAGGAATCAAACCGGGGTCTCCCGCCTTGCAGGCGTATTCTTTACCAGCTAAGCTATCAGGGAAGCCCATGATTTTAAACAGTATTTATCAAATACATTTTCAGAGTCTCGACCCCAGGTAACGTCACCATCCCTTCATTTTTTTCGGTCCTTTCTCGACATGTGATCAGAGTTGTTAACAGTAACTTCATCCAGTTGCTGTCACACAATGAATTCTATATGAACATCAACTTATGTGCTTCTGCCAGGCCAAGGGGTTGCTTCACACAAGAGTCTACCCCAAGCTGTTTGCCATGTGCACTCAAGCTGCATCGGCTTCCATGGCTAAGTACACTGGCTGGGGAAAGAGGGATCCCCCACCTGCCCCTGTTCCTGGGGGTGACCCAGCCCCGCTGAGGAGGCTCACGGGCTGTGTCTGCCGCTTTCGCCTCCACCCCCAGGGATTAGCTCTGGCCTACTTCTCCAGTTTCTCCCTGATGGGGGCTGCAGCTGTGATGACCTCGGTGGCTTGACTTGGAGAATGACACCGAAAAGCAGAGAAAGGCAGCTTGGCCCCTCCTGCCCACCCCCCTCCCCTTATCATGTTCTGATCCATAACCAGATGGCATTCAGCGATCTGGCTCCTGCAGGCCGGAGCTGGCTGCGATGGGTGTGCTCTCTCCTCTAATCCACTGTAGCCCTGCCAGCTTGAGGTCAGAACCACCCCATTGCCCCCACTGCCAGCCGGGGCTGAGGCTGTGACCATTATCTGTGATCTCTCTGATGACTTGCCTCTGAGGAGATCCATAGCCCATGGGCACATCTATAGGGTGAGGGCGGGCAGATAGGCTTGGTATCTCAGGTTTGGTATCTGACTTACCCCAAGTATCAAAATTACCTGGAGGGCTTTTAAAGCCCTGCCCCCAGAGGTTCCCTTTCAGTCCTCAGAAGCAGCACCCATTTGGCTTAATGATCTGCTGTCACCATCTTGAAATTCTAGTCATTATTCTCACTGTGGGGCCCCGTGGGTTCATTTGGCCCTGGGCCCTGCTTGTGATCGCCAGTCCCATCAGGAGATCCAAAGGGCAGCCTGCGAATTCGCATTTCCAACCAGCGATGCATTTCCCAGATGATGGAGACGCTGCCATGTCAGAAGTACTGTCCCTAGTAGTTGAGATGTTCAGGAAATTTCTTTCATGGGGGTTTTTCCTGATGCACATAACTGTTGACTGAATCTGCAACTTATAATGATTTGCACTATATATTCTCTTCTGTATGTTTTGTAAGACAGATGAGCAAGATATGAGACCAAACCATTGTGGTCTCCATGAGCTACAATATGGCCTTTCCAAAACTCTCTTCCTATTGTAAGGGAGCCCAAAAGCATCTGTGGCCCTGATAGTTATTTTAATTTGGCAAAGGAATTGACTAGACTCTCTTTAAAACAGCTTATAAAAGCAGGTTTTATGTGCCCACTCTTATCGAAATAACACTGTGACTTATTCTTGCCGAGTAGACATAAAACACTTTCATTAATGAATGGAAAAATGTCAACTAAACAGGGGGAAACAACTGAAATTAGCCCGGCAATTTGATGTCTAGCCCTGGTAGAACCCAGATTCTGAGCTAAGCTCTGTGTGGCTACCAGTTCAACACATTTGTATTTGCTCATTCTCACAGTGGAGTGTCCTCAATGAGAGTCAAACCCCATGATGACAGACAAGGGTCCGTTTGTTTTGTCCTGTGTTCCCTCCGTAGAATCAGGGAAAGTTTACCCTTTAATTAAATGATGGCAGTTAAATCGTTTTTTTCCTCAACTTTTCCAGCGGAAGTAGTAAGTTCCTTTTATTTTTCCTTCATTCATTGGAAGCCTAAAGTTTCTGGAAAACCATCCTCGTGGTTGTCCTCTGGCTCTTTCCCATAAGGTCATCAGTCATTGGTTTAAAGAGGGGGCAAGGAAAGGACTGTTTATTTCATGTGGATAAGAAATTCCCTCAGCAGAAAGTGCTTGGGGCCCTAACTGCCTCAGTGACAGGGAAAGCATGTCACAGCTGAGTTGCCTTCCCCTGGCAGTAAGCCCTGCCCGAGCCCAGTGAAGTCGGACCCCCTGACAGCATCCTTTCTCCTCCTGCATACACAGAACCCTTAGATTAGGAACAGCTTGCTCAGGCACGGGGTTACCTTCTATAAGATCACCAAGGATTTGTCTTGAAAAATGAATCCAAAGGAAAGTAAAGGCAAGAGAACTGAAGTGGGGCGAGGGGTGGGGGGCGGCAGAAGCAGGTTTGGGAACTTTTAATCAATCTGTGATCATTTCCCTTTAAGATGTTGTCAGGGCCACTGTTTTGAGGAAAGTAGAAAATACAGATGTTCCCAGGTAAGACTTCAAACAATCTTGTCATATTCCTGATGTTCTTGTTTTCCTGTTCGGCTCACATTTTCACCATTATTTCTGTTGCTGTGACAACTCATGCTCATATAAAACTTAATGGATGTGCTCATAAGTACGCTTTACATCAATTTGTAAAAGCACTGGTGCCTTGTAGAATCCTTTCAGGTGTATTTAAATACTATGGATTCCAGTGACGGTCATATGTTTATCTTTTTAGCCACCATTTATCCATAAAACAGTTATTCCCACCACCACCACCATCATCATCATTGTCAGGAAGGATGGATTGATTTACATTAGTATTTGGGTGAAAGGAGAAAAGGTGTCCATAAACTGCATGTAACGTTTCAATCATAGTTTTGTCTGAATTACTTTTAATTCAAGATATTGAGGAAAGCTAAAGAGTTATCTACAGTTTTCCCTATTTAACAGATAGTGAGCATCAGATTTTAATTTTTAAATGGAAACAGGGATTGATCCAACAGGCATTTCAGCGATGCACCTTGAAGAGTTTTCATCGCTTCGCCCTGCCATTTCCTGTGACATCTGTTTGGTTTTGCTGCCATCTGCTGGCCATTTCATAGAAACGCTTTCACCTGATTGACATAGGAGCCTTGGAACCTTGCTCAGAAACTCTTTTTTGTTTCAGCCCGTGTCCACACATTCTCCTGCCGTCATTTGTAAGCTTGTCCGCCGGTTTGAATCTGGTCTCCCATTGCTAACACACTCACGCGCCTGTAATTGTCTCCTTGTGCCAGAAGCCCTGACATGCTGAGGTCGGAAGTCTCCTTTTCCATGGGAGGAAGGCACTCGTCCACAGACTCCAACAAGGCCTCAAGCGGAGACCTCTCCCCTTATGACAACAACTCCCCTGTGCTGTCTGAGCGCTCCCTGCTGGCTATGCAAGAGGACGCGGTGCCGGGGGGCTCAGAGAAGCTTTACAAAGGGCCGGAGCCGTGTGTGCGCCGGGTGGGCCTCTTGCCCTCCTCGAAGTCGAGGGAGAGTTCTCCTGGACCAAAGCTTGGCAAAGGTAATTCATCCAGTCCCTCTGATTGCATGTGGCCTGGTGTGGGTGCTTTGGACCTGGTCTCCAACCCTTCCTTGTTTCATGTTTCCCTAATTCAACGAGCACTTACTGAGGAGGACCTGCCGAACACTGATCCTGGGTCCGAGTCCCTGCACACCCAGCTAGGTGGGAAGCAGTCTCCAGCTGGGTGAGCCCCAGACAGTCCCAGCTGACTCTCCCCTCCAGCATCCGAGGAACCTGCTGGCTCCTGGCCTGTGGGCTTGGGTACATATCTTTCAGTCTAAGATGGCACCTCACCATTGCTGTTACTTTTATACAGAGAACAAGCTGAACTCACTATATAATGAGCAGGCATGTTCCAAATAAGTCTCCATGCCAATGAAGACTTTTAGGCAAAAGAAGATTTCCATGGTCAAATACATTTGGGAAAGGCTGAGTTAACCAAGCTAACAGTTTCTCTGCTGTACAAGTTCTCAAAAACCTTTACACTGCTAGCAGGCACCATGAATTTCCACAATGGGAGGGAGGGGATGGTTTTCTCAAATGGATTTGACCACTGAATGTTCAATTTGTACTCCCCCTCCACAGAACAATTCCTCAGGGTCAGGACTCACAGGGTACTTTTTAACTGATCATTGGAAGACACAGTACAAATTCTTGCTGCTGTATCACAAATATATAGTTTTATCTGAAGAGTCACTCTGAAAGAGCTCCTTTTTTGGTGTGTTTAATCATAGCAGCTTTACTTTTATTTCACAAGTATTTGTTTCAAAAATTTCTTTTAATTTACAGTGAACAGAGTAGTTGGTGTTTCTATCAGGCATAAAATTTCTTTTTAAAATGTGAAAGTACTTGCCTCATCCATGAAATGGACTCAGGGACATCTCTTCAGGATTAAATGAGAGAATGAATGCATATGAACACAGGGAAGCACCGGTAGACATTTGCTTCTAGAAATAGTCATTATCATCACATTGCCGAATTAGTTTGTTTAGATGCTAAGTCATGTCTGACTCTTTGTGACCTCACAGACTGTAGCCCGCCAGGCTCCTCTGTCTGTGGAATTTTCCAGGCAAGAGTACTGGAGTGGGCTGTCATTTCCTTCTCCAGGGAATCTTCCTGACCCAGGGATTGAACCCATGTCTCCTGCATTGGCAGGTAGGCTCCTTACCAGTGAGCCACCTGGGAAGCTCTTAGGTTTCAGGATTGTAGTAAGAGTTAAATGAGATGGTGGGAACACCTAAGATAGAGCCTTAGTCTGTAAATATTTACAGACAGATTAGGGGGAGTGTATGAATAAACACATGCAGGACTGTGAGTCTGCTGATGCCACAGAGGAGTATTCCCTAGGCATACTAAGATAAACGAACTATAACCATTGTTCCTCTGTCTCTGTGTTGATGCGGTTGGAACTGTTGTCACCCATGACAATTCTACTCATTTCCTAGGGCTGCCATAACAAGTGAAAACAAACTTAGTGATTTAAAACAACACAAAAATTTATTATCATACAGTTCTGGACGTCAGAAATCTAAAATGGGTCCACAGGGCTGTGTTCCTTCTGGAGACTTTAGGGAACAATCTGTTTCCTTGCCTTTTCCAGCTTCTGAGGCTACTTGCATTCCCTGGTTTATGGCCCTTTCCTCCATCTTTAAAGCCAGAAACAGCATCTTCTATCTTGCTTCCCTTTTATAAAGACCTTTGTGATTACACTCAGCTCACACAGATAATCCAGGATCATCTCCTCATTCCAAAATCCAGAATTTAGGCACACCTGCAAGACTCTTTTCACTGTAACATCTTCACAGATTCTGGGGATCATGACTTACTCCGTCTACCACAGCCATCAGAGAGAAAGAACCTTTTCGTGAATCCCAAATGGAATAGGCCTCTTAAAAGGCAGGTCTGCATCATATTCTGTCTTGTATTCATCACAATCTCGAATATAGTACTTTGAGTAGAAGAGGTGTCATAAAAATATTTATTAATTTGTTTTTAATCTTCAGTTTTCATTTTGAGTTACAAACCTTTTTTTTTTTACACTTCTTCCTAGATATGGCAGAGGAGGCTTTCAATATCTGGGGAACTTGGCATTCAACATTAAAAAGTGGATCCAAAGACCCAGGAATGACAGGTGAAGGATTATATTTTAAAACTAATATTGCACTTACTTTTAAAGTTAATTTTCTTTGCTTTTCACCTTACTATCATCATATTACATGCTTCTCAGATATTATTTGAAAAATGCTGTGTCAACTTAGGGGGAATATTCACAACCTAAAAGTTGAGTGTTATATTTTATTTGGGGGGAATTTTTAGGACTCCAAGCTGGGGAGACTTGGAGTAGTGTGAGAGAACTGCTCTGAGGAGGCAAGGGAAGGAGCCAGGTTATATAGACGTTTGTAACAAAGGGTAGGTAGTCTGAGTGTCAACAGATTATTGTTAATTAGAGGAAACCAGATATCTCAAGTTAAGGAATTTAGCACTTTTCCCTGTCTGGGAAGATGCAAGAGCCTGGGGCCACTGAAATCATTCCTTTGATCTGCACCTCAGCTACCTGGGGCCAGTATCCTGTATTTTCATGTCCTGAGCTTCCTCAGGGCTCACCACAGGGAGTGGCTGCAGGAAGTGGCCACCATCTGATGACTTCTAGGTGACAGGTATTCTTTTTTTTCCTGAGTTTCTTCAGGGTGGCTCACATTGGAGGGCTGCAATCACTGAGGGCTGTGACATCCTTGTTTACTGATATAAGGAAATATCCCATTTCCCAGCTGGAAATAGGGGGAAAGGAGATAAAGCTGTACCTTTCCACCAAAGTACATCAATCTTTGACTTTATTTCATTTCATTTGCAAGAGTTTTTAAAGATAGTTATAATCATTCTGACTGTGTACCTTTATATGATTTGTCTACCTTTCATTCTCCAGTTATTTTCCATTATTGTTGTTAAGGGCTGTGTAGTATTTTGGATGCATATTTATAGTTTATAGCCCAGTGTTGGGACCACTGAGTTGTTTCCATTTTTTTAGTGATGTTGCAATAAGTTAATGTCAGGGATCTCTTTTGTGTACTTTTTGGATTTTTTATTTTAAATTGTAAAAAAAGTTCACAAAATTTTAGAAAGCCAGTTATAAATCTGAAATAGAAAGGTCAGAAAATAGGAAAATTCCTTGGTGGTCCAGTAGTTAGGGCTCCATGCTCCCACTTCTGGGGACCTGGGTTCCATCTCTGGTTGGGGATATAAGATCCTGCAAGCTGTGTGATGCAGCCAAAAAAAAAAAACAGAATAAGAAAGTGGGTCAAAATATAATGAACCTATCCAAGAATTCAGAGGTATAGTCACTTCACATTCCATAGAGGATACAGTGGCTTGTTTTGCATAACCATAGTGGTAGCGCCATTTCACAGTATTGTACATGTCACTTTAATCTCATTGGTATTGCAAATCACTGGCTTTGCATTTGGGTTTCTTTAAAAAACAAAATTATATTTCTTATTATCATTTGCCTGTATTTCTCACCAGTATTTTTCAATTTTTCTATTAATCAGCTGAATTTCACCCACAGATTATCCTTATGTCATTGGCTATTTATGTATGCTAGTGTTTTTAAAACTGATTCTTACAAACTCTTCTTATAATAAAGGCATTAACCCTTTGACCACATTGTTTGCCACTGATATTCCTTGCATTTTCTCCCTTTTTGCATATCTGGACATTTTTTAATGTTTTACATGAGTAATTCTATCTCTTGTGTGTGAATTCTTTCACAAAATTATCTTAACTTTTACTTAAGCATTGGCAAATTAGTCATCTATACACTTTTCTCTGTCACAGTATTTCATTATTTTAACCGTTAATTCTTTAATCCATCTGGAATATATGTTAATATACAATATGAGGGCTTCCCTGGTGGCTCAGATGGTAAAGAATCCTCCTGCAACTTGGGAGACCTGGGTTCGATTCCTGGGTTGGGAAGATCTCCTGGAGGAGGGCATATAATATGAAGTGTGTGAATTGTTTTGTTTCCCTGTGTGTGTGTGTGTGTGTGTGTGTGTGTGTGTATTCCCTTTTTCATTGTTTTGTAATACTTCCCATATTACATTTTTAAAGCATGGTGCATTTTTATTTTAATGGCCTCTACTCCAGTTTGAGTATTTGAGTATTGATCCATTATCTAAGTACATCTCACCTTATCCCATGAACTGCTTTACTGTCTTTTTCCCCAAGGATAAATTATTCCAAAATATCCTGCTCTGTTTTCCTTCTGCTGGTTCAAGTCTGATCTGTCCCTGTGTAAATGCTTATATGCCCCTCTCCCCCCAAAATGATCTCCCTGCTTACTTTTTAAGAAATGAGAGGATGGGGCAAATCAACAGGAGACAGGCAGCCTAGGGACATAAACCCCAGGAACTCCTCATTTGCTTGTGAAACACACTGTTTTGCTCGCCTTTCAATTTCCTGAAGAAAGTTGTATCAGTTAGGGAAGGTTACAAACATCTCCTAAATGTCAGTGGCTTAACCTTTCACAGGTTGATTTATCCTCACTACCCAGTCCAATGTGGATTGTGCAGGGTACTGAGGGGTGGGAATACTCTGTTCCAGTCATGTAGGGGCTCAGCTCAAGTTCCATCTAGCCAGTGGCTCCCCCATCCTCAGAGGCCTCAGAGTCTTCCATGGTTGCTCCATCGTGGGCTAGAAGTTGAGGGAAGAGAGCAAGTCCAGACAGCTAGAAGTGCATTTGGTGTTTTTCCTACTAGAGCAGGCCTAGAAATGGCTTCCATCTCACCTCTCCACATTTGTTAGCCAGACCTTATCTATGTGGCCGTCCTAACTGCAAGGGAGGCTGGGAAATATCATCCAGGAAAGAAAGGGGATGATGGGTGAATAAGGAGCCAGTCTCCCCCAAAGTGGCAGGGGTAGAATATACACAGGGGCTGCTGCCTTCAGCTTCTGGCACTAAATGGGGCATTTTTGATTCAATTCATTTATTCCTACGGCTTTGATTGACACAAGAGAAACATGGAAACACTATAATGTATGTCTCCTCCGGATTGCAAGTTGCACTGAACAGGAAGAGAATGTTCCTTTTACCTTCTAGGTTCAGAAAAGTTTCCATAAGCACGGCAGAGAGGGGCTTTCCAAAGGCAGAAATTAAGGCACAGGACTCTTTAGTCTCATTTGACAGTGAAGCTGCCCGAGTCCAGGCATCTGTCTTTGGAGCTGTTACATGAATCGTGCCGATAATCAAGGTCTCTTGGTCAGGTCTCTTACAAGGAAATTTTCTACTGTAGTCAGCCACAGCTAAGCGTGTCCTGTGCTTTAAAAATTTTTTTGCAACTGGCAAGGCACCCCAAGAGGGAGCTACAAACCAATTGCATTTCTCATCCTTCTCTCTGGCTCCCAGGTTCCTACGGCGACATTTTTGAAAGCAGCTCCCTCCGCCCGGGGCCCTGCTCCCTGTCTCAAGGGAACCTGTCCCCCAACTGGCCCCGGTGGCAGGGGAGCCCCACAGAACTGGACAGCAGTGCGCAGGCTATTCAGAGGACTCAGACCACAAACCCGGCGGCCGAGGCGAGGGCGCACGCCCCGGTGGCCCGCGTCTGCAGCACGCCCCACATCCAGGGCGGCGGGCAGCCCACCCCGAGGCCAAGGCCGGAGCCGAGCTGGACTCTGAGCAGCGCCGAGGACCTTGCCGAGAGCGAGCCAGAGGGGGCCTGGCCACAGAGGAGAGCCAAGCCTCTGCCCCAGAGACCTGCAGAGGGTACCAGGCACGACAAGCGGCCTCCTCCTCCTTATCCTGGTCCAGGAAAGTCAACCGTAGCATCCCCGGCCCACCAAGCCGCCGAGCCACCGCTGTGGAGGCCACGGAGGCCGGAAGAAGGCTCCGGAACAGCTTCGCAGGAGGGAAGTCAAACAGTCGAGCCGCAGCGAGGGCACCAGGCCGCCCAGCAGAAAGCGAGCAGCGCCTATCCCAGTCCCGCTGGTGATCAGAACAGTAAGACCTTGGGGGAACCCAACTGGCTCGACTGGCAGAGGGAGCGATGGCAGATCTGGGAGCTCCTGTCCACCGACAACCCCGATGCCCTCCCGGAAACGCTGGTCTGAGCCCCCCACGCTCACCCCTCACCTCCCAAACAGCCTTCTTCCACTCAGTAGGGGAAAAAGTGGGTGTTGGACAATCGGGCACTTACTTGTTTTTCTTCTTTTACACTTAAAAAAAAATAAATACGAGAAAAGTCAGTTCACTTAAAGATAGAGCACCCTAGGACCCTGACCCTTTATAATAAGATTCTATTGCATAGCCAGCCTTCAGAATAAAACAAAAATGTATGCTAACGTCTGATCTAAAAGCTATTCACATTGGCTCTGTATAAGATAAAATTCTCGCTTTGGTATAGCTTAATTGTATTTATGTGTCTTCAGTTTTGACTCCTGTATATTCTGTAACAGATTATGTATGATAATCCTATATGTTATATTCACAGAAAACAGAAGGAACACTTTTAGTCACTTATTCTAAGTAATGAGATTCTATAGAATGTTCTAGAATATGCACAAGCGGGTTTCTGTGCTTTTGCCATAGCTTTTAACTGGGGACAGCCCTTCTTTCAATGCCTAAGAATAACACTAACAAAGCAAAATAGAACAGAATATGAGAAGCCATATTTTTATATAGTAGTGAGATACAAAAAGAATATAGTCACTGAATGCTTTTTCATATTGAATATGTTTTAAGGAAAATATTAAATTTGATACATTATGGAATATATTTTTAGAATCTGTTTAGAAAGGATTCAGTTAATGAAACAAGAAAAAGGCCGTGCCTGACAAAGAAAGAATAATTAAGAACTTGTCCTTCCCATTTTAGGTCAAATTCAACTTTATATAGACCATATATAATATATATTTATAATGTACGATTTCTATGTATTTTTCAAAACTATAAACTGGAATCCAACTATAAAGTGTTTGAGTGAAAAGAGAGTATTCAAATTACAGAACATGGTTTTTCCTTTTGCCCCATCATCAGTATTAACCAAATTATATGCAGTGCTTTGTGAAGTAAATCATATTTGGAAAAAAACAGAGCTCTGTATTTACACTGTGCCAAAGGCTGAGGAAATGTTTTCTTTGGTAATTTTCTGTGTAATGTGAAATGTTCCTACCATACTTCAGTAGTAAATTTGAAGTTTTTCAATGCAAAGCAATTTTTGACCAGCAGGTGGCAATTTGCTTCTGTATTTTATGATATTTTTTTCTTTTCACTTCATAAGGGAATGTGTATCATAGAAAAAGATTTTTTTTTATAAAACATGCTACTCTTAATTTTCATATTGGCGATGACATTTTCAGTGGTGTTTCTTCAAGTTCTTACTTGTGCCATAATGAATAAAAAGTTAAAGCAAAGGCTTTGTTCAATGGCATTAAATCTCATGAATGAACCCACACACCATTCCACATACACACTTCCCTATCTACAAGTCCAAATGTAATGAATAGTGGCAGTACTATCCACATACAGCTGCTGCTGCTAAGTCACTTCAGTCACGTCCGACTCTATGTGACCCCATAGACGGCAGCCCACCAGGCTCCCCTGTCCCTGGGATTATCCAGGCAAGAATACTGGAGTGGGTTGCCACTTCCTTCTCCAATGCATGAAAGTGAAAAGTGAAGGTGAAGTCTCCCAGTCGTGTCCGACTCTTAGCGACCCCATGGACCGCAGCCTACCAGGCTCCTCTGTCCATGGGATTTTCCGGGCAAGAGTACTGGAGTGGGGTGCCATTGCCTTCTCCGATCCACATACAGCTAAAGAGCTAATAAAAAGTCGTAGGTGGCTTGGAGACATAACCCAGTGAAATTGATATTTGTTGCAAGTGAAGGTTGATTGTCATTCATTTGAAACTCAGTTGTTGATGAGGAAGTAGATGGGAACTCGGGGGGTTTCCCACGTGGTGGACAAGTGTTTCCCAACACAATCCTTGTATGTTATATCTACACTACAGGCCTTGGATGCTTCTTCTGTTTCAGGGTTGGAATGATGAAGTCTAGAAATGCTGTCTGACATTTCTTAACCGGGGCCCAGGGGGCGGGCAGTGATAGGTGTCTTTGGGCTCTGCCCTTGGGTCCAGCACTTCTACCCCTGGCGGGAATGTGGGAAGGATTTGCCTGCTGGCCTCTGGCTCTTTTTGGCTGCCCCCACACAGCCCAGAGTTGCAAACAAGACCCAGAGCAAATGCTGCCTGATTGTAGATCACAGGTTGCTTTCCCATGCCACCTCCCCTCGTCCTCCTCCTGTTGACTGTGTATTTTCTTGGCTTTGAATTTAACCCCTGTCTGGCTAGTTCTTTTTCTCCTTTTTGGACTCAACTACCTGATATATGGGACTGCCCCGCCCCCCACCGCCAAGTTTTTGCCCTAACAGTCCTATTTTTTTTAAACTGTCAGATCAGATGGCCCGGAGGTAGATGTCTGTGTCTTAAAAGGTAAAGTATGTTTATCTATTAATGGTCAGATCTAGAATAGTCCAGAAAACATGGCTCAGAATATTTTTATGTAATGCAATTGTGTGTGTATGTGTGTGTGTATGTGTGTGTGCTGTGCCAGTATATGCCCATGTATGTCCATGTAATGAACAATATTCACTCTCCCTCTCTCTTTAGATGGTTTAGGCTGGTGGCCATATTGTTAACTCAGTGAGTGAAAGCTTGTTTATCAGATGCCTTTATCACATTGAAAATAAGCTGTTCTCATGAGACAAGTGCTCGGGCCTGGTGCACTGGGAAGACCCAGAGGGATCGGGTGGAGAGGGAGGTGGGAGGGGGGACCGGGATGGGGAATACATGTAAAAAAAAAAAAAAAAGATACACTATGGTTGTGATAAAAAAATAATAATAAATAAATTAATTAATTAAAAAAAAAAGAAAGAAAATAAGCTGTTCTAAAACACACACACACGAGGCACAAAGACCCGAGTCAAAGTTGGAGTCACTTCTAACACCTTGTGATAGAATACATGACAAGAAAAAAAATAATAAACTCTTTCAAGTTGGACAAAACTATTTAAAAGGCTGTAGAGGTCACTCATTCCTAGGAGCAAAGAGATCCTACAGTCAAGAAGAAGGCTACCTGGTGACACAAATGTCTTGCATCTCTGAATACTGAATCACCATTTTTATGTGTCTGGCAATGAGGCACAATGATAGGACCCAAATGGCCAAACAGGAATTTGTCTTGATCTAAGTGGCTATTAACATACGTGTGTTGTGGGTTTTCATAGAAAAAAAAAAATCTCTTCTACCAATGGAGTTTGTGCAAATTGAAGAAATTTCTAAATAAGCCCAGCTTGCTTCTTTTTCTTATGCACATTTTAATACACATCTGCTCGACAGACAAACAGCATTGGGATCAAATCGAAGGAGATACCAGGTCTCCATCAAGGCCTATGTGTACATCGCTCTGATAAGCAAACTGCAGGAGGCACCAGAACTGAGAAGAAAAGAAATGACCAAGAGTCACACTGAGATGAAAACAAGTCAACATCTCGACCCGACAGAATTTTAAAACAAGACTAAATCAGCAGCAAATGTTCTTGAGAAAAAAAAGAAATCAAAAACAAAGGAAAATTCTGATAAAGCTTGGAATTCTTCGGCACAGGATGACTTCCTGAAGGTGTAGAGGTCCAGACACTGGTCTCTGGAAGTTCGGACCCCTGGCCTGGTGTGGCCTGCGGTCCCTCATGGTGCACACAGCAGCAGCCCCAACTGCAGGCCCCCCGATGTCACAGAAAGGTCAGAAGATTCTCTCAATTTGACCAACATCTGTTCACCAGTGGTTTTTATGCAGCACGATGAGCTAACATTTATTAACGACACCTGCTCTGGTCTAAGTGTTTCACTCACATTAACTCTTTCACCCCTCATAAGCAGTAGACAGAAATCATGACTATCCTCATGTTCCAGGGAGCACGAAAGACCCAGAGTGACATCAAATGAGTTGCCCAAGGTTGCATAGCTGGAAGGTGACAGAACCAGGATTTGGTGGTGGGCCATCCACGTGTGGGGCTTCCCAGGTGGTGCTAGTGGATAAAGAATCCACTTGCAATGCAGGAGACGCAGGAGATGCAGGTTCAATTCCTGGGTCGGGAAGATCACCTGGAGGAGGGCATGGCAACCCATTCCAGTATTCTTGCCTAGAGAATCCCATGGACAGAGGAGCCTGGCGGGCTGTGGTCCACGGGCTCACAAAGATTTGAACACGACTGAAGCAGCTGAGCATGCACGCATCCAAGTGTGCAGACCTGCTGTTTGAACTGAAACTTCGGGAGCAAAGCTGTTTCTTGTTTCTCTACAAATAAGATGCCCACATTTGCTTAGAGGGTGTGTGTGTGTGTGTGTGTGAGCCTGTTAAGTCACTTCAGTCGTGTCCGACTCTGCGATCCTATGGACTGTAGCCTACCAGTCTCCTATGTCCATGGGGTTCTCCAGGCAAGAATACTGGAGTGGGTTTAAAGGGAAAAAACTTTCCCATACCCTCTTAATCGCCTGGCAAAAAGGATTTATTTCACATGCATACAGAAACCAACAAAGGAAGTATCTGGCTCCTTAAATGGTTAAAGGTTTACAGACCTAACCTAGCAGGGAAAAGGCAGTGGGGAGAAACAATTTCTAAGGGCAAAGCAAATAGGTTTATTTGAAAAAACAAACGAGTTTTCAGGAAACCAGACAGGAGATAAGAAAGTTTGTGATAAGGATGGTCTATACAGGTATGAGCAGTCTTTCTGTCTCCCTCGGAACCATAAAACTCCCCCAGAGAGGGGATTTATAGTAGCTTCATTTCCCACAAGTTGCTTTTAGTCAGATAAGGGAAGCTCTAAAAGGCTTTTTCCTGCATCTGTTGAATCTCAAATGTCTTCAGCTTAAAGCCGTCTTGATGCCATGTCTGGGGTTCTGAGTGGGTCTTCTCCAGCAGGGGAAATGACTTAGAGAATGAATCAGAAACATGTTTAATCACGCAGGAAAGGATCCTGGCAAATCAGTGTTCAGAGTCCTCCTAAATTCAAATCACTTTACTTGGTCAAAAACTCAGAATCTGGGTCGGGAACCTGC